TGTGGTGATACTGTGGGCAGCCGTAGTATTCACCAAATAGTGAGAGAGCATTATGAAACTGCGGGGAGCCATAGCTTTCACTGGTCAGAGGGAGAGTGTTGTCAAACTATGAGGAACCATAGTTTTCACTCGTCAGCAAGAAAGTATTGCGGAACTGCATGGAACCGTAGCTTCCACTAGCCAACGAATAAGAGAGAAGCGTCGTGAATCTACGGGGAGCCGTAGTATTCACTAGTCAGAGCATGACACAGAGGAGTTCCTAGACTTGGGTAGCCTTCTCAATTGAGTCTGTTGGAACCTGGTGGTCGGGCCAGGGGCGAGACTAGGATGTCCCTAATGGTCGGGGATCGTTGTATTCTGAGTTAAGGTGTAGTTATCACAATCAAAAGGAATTATAGAAATGATGTACGCATGAGTTATAAGTTATGAGTTATGAGTTGAGTGCTTCATTAAGATGAGTGGTTCCAATTCTGCGTCGAGCTAGACTCTCGAGTTTGAGTTGGATTTAGTGGTGTATTGAGAAGGCGACATGAGATTCCGGATTTAGAGGTGGGTTCCATTTTGAGGGGTATTGTGTGTCATTTGATGTCTTAGACATGAGTGGGTCAGTTCGTTTGTATGGGAAGGACCACGAGACACAGGGAACTAATGAGTAGTAGACGACAGAGGTCGAGGGTGAGATGATTTTAGTTAGGATTGTAGTATTCGCTTGGGTAAAGCGAACTTCATGACTTGTGTGCCACAATGGGCCGAGATAGTTATTATGAGAAAGGAAATCAGTGAGATGTTTCAGGGTATGCAATAGGTAACCTTTGGAGGTTCAACTATTGGGTCAGGAGTTGACCTAGTGCTCAGTGTTGAAAGGGATATTTGAGACGCAAATGGGACTTATGATTATTAGATGTCAGAGGATACTTCTGAGCGAGCATGATCATTTTCTTGTGTCTGAGGACAAGGTGTTGAGAGTTCATTGTTCAGATGGGTTCTGATTACAGTACAATGGATGTGTAGCACCTGTTTCCTGGTATTCATTTTGTTCTAGTATCTTGCATCTTGGCCTTGGACTCGACGAGTTGAGGTCCAACTCGTCGATTCGGAGCGTGTTGGACACATACGTTTAATGACCTACTCGACGAGTCCGTCTCCGGACTCGGCGAGTAGGCGCTGTCTGGACAAAAAACCCTAGGTAAGTGTTTGCACCCTATCTAAAAAACTTATTCAGCCTCCCTTTCGTCCCCAATGCTTCCAGAACTCCCCATAGCAAACCCTAGCCGTTTTTGAGAAGAACTAAGGCACTTTTGGTGGATCTTGCTAGTTGTGACCATAAGGAGGAAGGTGAAAGACTTGAGGAAACAAGTAAAGACCAGGGGAACCCGAGTTTGTGCATCTTCCATAGTTCATTGGAGGTATAAAGTAGTTACCTTGCTCTTTCATTTGATAGATCCCTTTTTGGGGAAATTTAGGGCTTTTATAAGCCATTTTTGGTGACCAACCATGATTGCAAGCATGGTTGGGGGTTGAGGCTTCAGAATCAGGTCATTAAGGGAGTCACAAGGCAGTTAGGGGTTGATTTTGCGCCCATCTAAGGTCCTATGCATCATAAGAGCTTATTTTATGTCCTTTTGAGCTCAAAGTCCCATACATGCAGGTAAAGTTTGTAACTTTACGTGCTAGAACAATTGAAGGAGCTGAGATCTACCTTTTTGGTCAAGAGTTGTATGCTGTAAATCGAGAAATGAGACTTGGACATGCCCGACTCGACGAGTCATTCTTGGGACTCGGTGAGTCCAAGGCAAAACTCCCCTTTTCTGTTAACGTTTGAAGGAACCCAGTTGAGCACTAGAAGGGTTTCTAGAGGGTCCAAGGGACTGACCTAACGTTTTGGACTTAGCCTTAGATCTGGAGTTCATGGGACTCGATGAGTGCAAGAACGGACTCGGTGAGTCCAAGGCAATCTCCTTATGATTGAAGATGAACTCGACGAGTTGTTCATACAACTCGGCGAGTCAAGGTCAAGACTTGTTCATCAGATGAAGGTGAACTCGACGAGTTGTTCATATAACTCGCTGAGTCGGATAAAGGATCATTCGATGATTATATAGAAGAGAAACTTGTCGAGTCATTGCCAAACTCGACGAGTCGAGTCGTGGAATAGGACGGGTTAAGGGTTAAGGACTCGACGAGTTGACGGCCCAACTCGGCGAGTCGGGTCAACTAGAAATTGACTTTGACTTGGACTTGGTTGAGGGTAAAATAGTCATTTTACCCAAAGAATAGATATCAGTTTCTGACCGAGTGTTTTATGGGGATTGTAGCCGGTGGATTTCCGAAGCAGCATCAGACAGAGATTTCCCACACAGGGTATCAGCGACTACTTGTTTGAGGTGAGTTACCTTCCAGTAGCGGTGGGTCTACGACCACAATCCCAGCCTACCAGTAGGAGTTGTATGTTAGATGATTGTCTTTGTGATATCATCTAAGTTTGCTACTACTTGATATGTTATATGTTGGCATAATATGTTATATATGATAGTAGTAGAGTTCGGTTCTTAGGACCAAAGGGTAGGTCAGACACCCCAGATATGTCTGATAGTATGTGATGATATATTTTTATGCTGGCATGATATGTTATATGTGATAGTGGTAGTAGGAAGGGAATAGTCCCCAAGTTCGGTTGTTAGGACTGAAGGGTAGTTCGGACACCCTAGATATGTCTGATGGTATGTTTGTGTTATGATATATGTAATAGTAGCAGTAGGGGGTGGAATAGTCCCCGAGGGTTGGTTTTTAGGACCGACGGGTAGGTCAGCACCCTAGAATGGCTTGACACGGGTAGGACGGCACCCCAGAACGGCCGTAAGGGTAGGTCGGCACCCCAGAATGGCCGTACGGGTAGGTCGGCACCCCAAAATGGCCGTATCGGGTAGGTCGGGCACCCCAGAATTGCCCGACAGTATGCATGTTATGTGATTGTATGGTATGTGGTACGATGGAAGAACTCACTAAGCTTCGTGCTTACAGTTTACAGTTTTCGTTTCAGGTACCTCTTCAGCGAAGGGGAAGGAGTTGGCGCGGTAGCGACACATCATACACATACTCTTTGTTTTCCGCACTATGGATATTTTGGGATTGTACTCTGACATGTTATTATTTTGTGACTTGGGTTTTCAGACATGATACATTGTTTAATGAGACGATGTGATTTCACAGTATTTTCTTATGACTTTTTTTATGAATTATTTAATTTAGAAAGAAATTTTTGGACTTGAAAATTGGGTCGTTACAGGATGGGTGCCTGGTGAAATGTGACCCTTTCGTTCCTTGGAGTATGATCTGGATCATTTATTATATCTGGTATGAGTGATCGATATCCAATTATTGGTCAATAACTTGTTTCTATCAGTCGCAACAAGAGAATCAGAGGGGCAGTGAGTTATTGAGGTATGTTATTCAACGAGCGAATAACATGGTGATATCTTGAGAGGGCGGTCTAGTAGTGAGACAGACCACTATAGTTTCTAGGTTCTGGAGAGTCAGAACGGGTATCATAGCGGTAGAGGGGTTTGTCCTTTTTTGGGTTTGGGAGTTCCTGTTTTGATTCAGGTGTCCCTGGAGGAAGATAGTTGTGTGGTATGAGATTCTTTCGGTGGTGCTTTTTGGGTTATTGAGTTAGGTCTATGTGTTGTGGAAAAGTGATTTCGAGGGAAAAATCTAATCCAAGTGGGGGAGAATTGTAACATCCGGACTTCTATGTGTCAGAGAACCGACTAGCCAAGTTGGTGTTGTGTAGTGAAACCCTAATTTCCCGGGGTTGGGGCCTATATAAGAGAACTTATACCCTTATTTCTGCCTCACCAGCTGCCTAACCTTCCTGTGTAAAACCCTAAACATGTGTAGTGAGCTAAGAGAGTCTTAGAAGCTAAACTTGGAGTAACCTAGTGCATCTTTTAAGGAGAAGAGGAGATTATCCAACAAGGAAGTAAGAGAATTGGTTAGATATAGTGTATCTTCATGCAAGGGCTTCAGTGGGAGGTAAAAGCTTGCACCTTCCTCATTTATTTGCCTAGATCTCATTATTATGGAAGATTAGGGTTTCTACCACCTTTTGTTGGGAATTTGAGCATATACAGTTATCATGGGGTGTAGACCTCATATTTGGACCTTGTGAGGTCCTTAGAGTCTGATGGTCCCAACTTTATTCATCCATATGAGGGTTATTGTGCTTAACACCTTGTGAGAGGATGTATTGGTATGTTGGAGCAAAATTACCATGCATGAACATAAAGATCGAAGCTTTATGTGACAATTAATTCTTGGGATGCTAGATCTAGTATTTGGAGTGGTGGATATGCTTTGAATCGACTAAATGAGGAATGAGTTTGAATGGACTCGCCGAGTCGATGAGCCGACCTGACGAGTCGGTGAGGGTTTGTCCCGATGAGCTTGATCATGCGATAACTCGGCAAGTTGGGGGTCAACTTGACGAGCTTAGTTGGACCTTCTAGAGACTTCTAAGCAAATGTGTGGACTTGATGAGTCACATGGATGCACTCGGCGAGTCGGATCAAACATGGACTGTTGACTCGATTTTGACTTCTGTTGACTTTAGGGTTTGGTCAAACATGAGTAATGGAGACCATGGAGGGGTTAAATGGTCTTTTATCCACTTCAAGATTTAGAGAGATTAAGAATAGCCTTCGATTTATTAGAGTCGTGAAAAGAGTATTAATTCGAGACATCTATCCTTTGTGTTAGGCGGACGCTAGTTCGAGTTTTGGGTACGAGGTTATTTGCTCACTTGCTTATGAGGTGAGTTTTCTCAGTATACATACCTAGAGTGGTAATATGAGTT